GATACTCAGAATAATGATCTTCAAAATAATAAAGCTGTTTTAAGGGCTGCAAAACGATTGCAACGAAGAAGAGAAAGAAACAAGCCAAGTGGCAATCTGCTTGAAATACTCAAACAATCCCGTGAAGCGGCTGGACTGCCACTTAATGCCGTCAACCAAGATTCAGCACGGCCAGAAATTCTACACGAAAGTCCAGAACAAGAACAACACGTTTCACCTGAAGAGAAACTGTCTTCTTCCAGACAGGAAACTATTGAAGTTGAACCTGATTGGGAGGACCGAAATGGTAGCGAGGTAAATTATCAATTTGCTATCGAGGGTCGATCGATCATATTACTTAAATTATCTTTTTCTCTGGGACAATCTAACATTTTCTACAGGTTTAGCATTTCGGTATATTTTATGTTCCTGTAGGATGTTTTCACAAGTGATTTCAAAGATTTGGTGTTATACATTTTTTCAGGTTTCATGTTTTTAAGTTCATCGATTTCAACAGGCTTTTAAACTGTTTCCTGTTCAAAATAGTTTGTTTTGCACTTAAATTCTGTTACACATTTTAGTATTTTGACTGGTCTTCTCCTGTATAAGCGGATGTCTCCACTTCTTATCTGATTTTTGGCTTCAACTGGTTTTCAGGTTCAACAGTGTTTTTCTTTTCAACTGAGATTGTGTAACGATAGGTTTTGTTTTAATTTGAATAAACATTTGTATTGCATAGATAAAAAAATAAAAAATATCAATATTCATTGTGCCCATTAAAATAATTCTTATACATATATATTTCAAACAAAGTGCCCTGAAATTCTAGACAGAAATCAAAAACAGGAAAAACATATTTCGCCCAGTCCTTTTATGAATAATGAGACTGAAGAGATATCGTCTTCTAGACAAGAATTTTTTGAAGTTCAACCTGATTGGGAAGACCGAAATAGCAGCGAGGTAAATTGTGATTTTGTTATATGGAATGTCTTGGTCACGTTTCGTAGATGGTGTTCTAAAAACTTCAGATTGTTTGTGTTTTACAGTTGTTTAAGTTTTGTGATTACATATATTCTCTATTTTCGAAGGCTTTGTGTTACACTTAATTCTTGTTTAAGTTATTTTCACTTGTTTTCCTTTTTAACAGATTTTTTTTACTTTATTGGATTGCTGTGTCAACAGTTTTGTGTTTCTCAGCAGTGTTTTACTGTTATTGTGTTTTGTTTTACTGTGTTTTTGCATACTAATTTTTTTGTTTCCATTTGTCTTATACTTTAGATTTACTTTTCTTAGTGTCATGCAATAATAAAAACATTTATAATTATTTTCACTATCTGTAATGATACATACTTATATTTTTAAAGAGATGCAGGAATGAGGTATTATTTTCCTTATTTCTCTGAATTTTACTCTTATTATAACTTATGCAATCACTAAATATATTGAGTGACAAATTTTAATTATTATAAATAACCGAATTCAAATAAAAAAGGTCAAGCATGAAAGAACGGGTATTACATTTCATAACCCTTAGGCAGCAGAAAAGTGTTTTGCCCGCAAACATGAACGATAATTCTGAGGAGGCTAAAAACACTTGGCTGCTTAGTTAATATTGTTTATCTTTGTTATTGACACCTTTCAAACTCAAATATTTATCATCAGGATAAGTCCTCTACAAAAATTAAGCAGGGTCGGGTATGACTCATTATGACAACACAATTTAAATCACCCAACACTTTGGTACTTTAATGACAAATCTGTCGTCTGTAACTATTTGTTCGTGATTGCCATGCATTGATCAACAGTGAATATTTCAGACATATTATTAAAGCTATAGTGGTTTAAACAAGTACAACAATATCATTATCGCTATATTCTATGACCTCTTAAATTTTGAAAAAGAAGGCTTTTGAACAAGAAATTAATGTACTTTTTCCGCACATCCATTTATTTTGTTGTTTGTTCGTTTGTTAACCACTTTTTGTTGGATTTCTACCAGGGACATTGAGTTCTTTAAAGTCAGGAAAATATTCGGCTAGATATCTGGGCATCTGATCTATAATGGAATTTTAAATGTGGCATATAAGTACGGCTGACTTGATCTTTCTTTCAATAAAACTATTTGATTACAAAGTGTGAAATTATTATTTTTTCATTATTATTATCACTATTATCATTGCTTCTTGTAAATAGATATAAACAAATATAAATTATGATGTAAAAAAATATTTCTGTTACAAAGGCAGCATCCTTGAATTGTAAGGACCTTAACATAAATGTGCACAGTTTTGCAAAGTATTCAACAAATATATATTTGGCAATATTTAAACCTCTTGAGATATTTTCCTATGAATGTTTTGAAATTGCTGCAACAAAATAGAGAAATAAACAGCTAAGGTTTATTATAATTGTACTTGCCAAAGATATAGGTATGCATACCTGTCCAGTCTGACGAGGCTCTGTACAAGTAAATTGGTTTCCTGCGGTGATCATTTTTAATGATATAAAGATACATGTATTTCATTTAACAATTTTCAACATTGTTGGGGGGATAAATAAACGTTTGTAACAGGAATATAGTTGACAATAATCGAACAATATAGAAGAAGGTCTTTGGAAACTGCATGTGACCGTTGAAAACCGGAGAAGGTCGAACATAAAACAATTATTTCTTTTTAAGAATATTATGAAATAGGCCTACCATTTTATGAATAATTCTGAGCAAAAAATAAATAAAGTAAACACACGAGTTTACGCAGAAAATAATATCTCTTTTTATTATGGCAGATGCCACTACGAATATTTTCATTTTGCAGATTTTCAGTATAAACAATTTACTGTTTGTAAAATTCGAGATAGATATTTAAGAAACATTGATAATTTTCAAATAGATCATTCAAATTTTTCCACCTTAAACGGTAAAATGATTATAGAAAATTAGAAATATCACTTAATAGATTTTTGTTCTCAATTAGGTGTAATTCGGACTTATTCCCTACAAGTAAATCCGTAACGTACCGGCAAACGGAAATTAGCTTGGTTTTCGAAAAGGTCAATTAACCAATCATATACGGTTTACAGATCACATGCTCCTCCATGTACCGAAAACAGGTCACGTGCTCCTCCATGCCTCAAAAGTAAAACGCGTACCAATACCCTGCGGTCTCCAGACCGCAGGGAATAACTATTTGCCTAGACATATGTTAACATTGCCTTTACATCAGGGCTGGGAATCAAAACTGCGTCGTATCCTACAAAATGTAAACAAACGCCGCCATCTTGGAACGAAAAATGTATGTTTTTGTTTATAACTCTTTTTGTTGGAAATGACTGAAAACCAGATATATGTATTAACACGCTACACTATTTTCCGCTTCGTTCGGTATATGTTGCTTGCACAACTATTTTGTAAAACAAAAGTTATAGCGAACTTGCAACTCGAAGCGGGGCAGAATTTTTATTAAAATGTGTGGATACGACGCAGTTCATATTGCTTTAGCTATCGTTTTCTCCTTCAAATCAATTATTTATTTGTTTCCGAGTTCACCATAAACTTTGAAATATAAATTTGCATCCTTTACTACAATGTCATTAAAAAGAGATGTTTATTTTCTAAGAAAATAATGATTTTTACGAAATGATACGACGCAGTTGATAATAAAATATGATACGACGCAGTTGTATTTTCATTGCAGGCTGCATATTGGTTAAACTATCTAAATTATGTGCTAGGTATGCTAATAAAGTCCAACAACATTTCTTGTTTACGACTTAAGTCAAAAGCTGAGGTCACTCATTGGTTTCATAAAAATGGAAATGTAATACTATTCTATTAAGGCTGCATTTTGTCGGTCGCATTTTAGTGCCTATCATAAGCATCTACAAATTCTTAAAAGCTGTATCAAATGCAATATACATTGAAACACGTGATCGCACACCCATATGACAACGTGTTCTAGTGTTGCCATAGCGTGCTTATAAACTTGTTCCCATGAGTTCGAAATGGGAGTGATTACTATTTTTGATACAAAATTCAATATTCCAGTGTAACCTCTCCTGGACCCTGTATTAATCAGGAATGACCTTCTTTTTAAAAAAGAGAAAGAATTACAAATTTTGAAAAGGTCTCTAGCTATCGGGAAATTGCATGCCTACCTTTGTTACTTGTAATTAGCAATTATTTCCGTCAATTCCGTTATTACTTATGTCTTTTACGTGCCGATTTTATTGTATTCATTTTCTAAATAATCGGTAAGGACAGATGAGATTTATTGTTTGAAACTGAACATTAAATTTTTAAAGTTATATTATAAATGGTTCAGCTACAATATATTTTTGCAAGTTGGTTATGCGTTCCGTTTAGTCATTTTATGTTCAGCGCCGAGAACTTTACCGCTGGTTTTGTCGTATTGCATTTCTTTATCGCCGTTGGGAAAGGTCTACGGAATGTATTTTTTATATTTGCACTTAAGTATCATTCTTCTCCATCAAAAAACTTTAAATTTTCAAAATCGTGTTACATATGATACAACTACAAATTATTTTGTAAAGAAGGTGTCCTTTTGCAAAGGTATTTTACGCTGTGCACCGATAAATTTGATACAGATATAGGCAGACATGATCTTTCAACAGTATTGTAGAAGTTTTCACAATATTAAACAGAAAATTTAGGTCAGATTATCGCACCGAATTTTCAACAGACTAAATACATGACATCTTAACATACCTTCATACTAAAGTGTGATTTTTATTTGATAATGAATTGCCTGAAAACTTAAACAAAAGTTTTCAGAAAATGACTTCACAGAGGATTACCCCATGTTTACATTGAAACATACTCTGTTAGTCATACCGAAATAAGAAATTTAAATGTTATTCTCTTTATAATTAATTCAAATATGTATAATCTTAAAACTTCACGCCAGAAGTTAATAAAAAAGCTGCTTATTTGTACAGCTCACGTTAACAAAGTTTGTTGAAAAAACAAATCAGACAGGTGTGTCCGACCGAGGCCGAGCTGTTTATGTTTACTGAATTCAAATCACTTGAACTGAATTGCTATGAATTCGAAAACCAGCAGGGACTTTTTACGACCGACTTTTTATTCTTTCATGTGGAAAACCTATCAAGCTAGTTTCAAAATGTCGATGGTTCTCTGCAGGTGCATCATTTTGCCTGAAATAATGCACAAAGGCGCACCTGAGGTCCTCGCCCCTAGTAAAGCTAATGTGTAGAGTGAAAGTTTGAAAAGAAACCACAAAAAAGCAGTCATTACCTAGAACATGAAGAACCACAGTTAACTTAGAGCGTAGCTAGCCAAAATGAATTCAAGTTAATAGATTTCTACGGTTTTTTTTGTGAAAAAATTAGGGATAATATTGAACATACAGGAAAATATAAGAAATTATTTCAGATATTATGATCAATTAGGTAACATGTTCATGTTTAACTGAAAAGTAGCTTCCGCAATGTAAACTTTCAAATTATATGTTATATTGGACATGACACTATGTATTCTAAATAATCAAAAGCAAAAGACGTTGCTATACACTGCAAATGATCTGGGTTTTTTTTTATCTAGCGCTGATTATTCCATAAAATAGAAATATATTGCAAAAATTATCCCTGTTGAAAAGACTGCCAAAAATACAACTGCGTCGTATCATATTTTATTTTCAACTGCGTCGTATCATTTCGGAAAAATCATTATTTTCTTAGAAAATAAACATCTCTTTTTAATGAAATTGTAGTAAATGATGCAAATTTATATTTCAAAGTTTATGGTGAACTCGGAAACAAATATATAATTGATTTGAAGGAAAAAACGATAGATAAAGCAATATGAACTGCGTCGTATCCACACATTTTAATAAAAATTCTGCCCCGCTTCGAGTTGCAAGTTCGCTATAACTTTTGTTTTACAAAATAATTGTGCAAGCAACATATACCGAACGAAGCGG